CGATTCCTCCGCTCTTCACATCTGTAATCTTTTATTCATACGTTGCCGGCGTTCTCTCAGGTCATTAGCGAGGCGCCTTCCTCGCTCGCTCGCCCCATCTCCGCACGCTGCGGATTCTGAAATCTCTCTACCTGCGAATCCCCCCCGGGGGCCGGTATGCTAATCCCCTCTCCACACAACTCGGGGCTGTTATGGCGGAACGGCTGATGGAACGCGCAAATCCTCGCAACGCAATTACCGACCGGAGACCTTCAGTGGAGGAATGAGCGAGACTCGGAGAACGATCCGCTGTTTGCCGGCTTGGAGATGAAAGACGCGACTTCACTAGAAGTGCCTCAGATACTGTGTGATACGCGGGGAGCTGCCGGGATCGCTGCTCAATTCAGCTTCATGGTGTGATTTCCAATCCGTTTCATCCTTCTGACTTCCCAGGGGAGGGGGGGGGGGGTATGAAGGTGTCACAAACAACTCCTGTAGACAGATCTTGATGGAAGGGTAGGCAGAAGAGGTGTCATACAAATGGCAGTCTGTGAATTCTCTTCTGGATGCGTTCTGTGGTACGGTGCATAGAACGAGCTCCCTAAGCACCCGAGGGTGACAGTGTGCCCCGTCTTCATGAGCAGTCAACTGTCTACCAATAGACAGACCTGGAGTGAGGGGTGGGCAGAAGAGGTGCCATACATATGGCTGTCTGAATTCTCTTCTGGATGCATTCTATGGTCTGGTGCAAATGTATTTACCAGCAGTGCTGGAACGAGCTCCCTAAGCACCCAAGGGTGCAAGTGTGCCCCATCTTCATGATGGACGGAGCTGGACTGAGGGGTGGGCTGAAGAGGTGTCATACAAATGGCAGTCTGTGAATTCTCTTCTGGATGCGTTCTGTGGTATGGTGCATAGAACGAGCTCCCTAAGCACCCAAGGGTGACAGTGTGCCCCGTCTTCATGAGCAGTCAACTGTCTACCAATAGACAGAGCTGGACTAAGGGTGGGCAGAAGAGGTGTCATACAAATGGCAGTCTGTGAATTCTCTTCTGGATGCGTTCTGTGGTACGGTGCATAGAACGAGCTCCCTAAGCACCCAAGGGTGACAGTGTGCCCCGTCTTCATGAGCAGTCAACTGTCTACCAATAGACAGACCTGGATTGAGGGGTGGGCAGAAGAGGTGCCATACATACGGCTGTCTGAATTCTCTTCTGGATGCATTCTATGGTCTGGTACAAATGTATTTACCAGCAGTGCTGGAACGAGCTCCCTAAGCACCCAAGGGTGCAAGTGTGCCCCATCTTCATGATGGACGGAGCTGGACTGAGGGGTGGGCTGAAGAGGTGTCATACAAGTGGCTGCCTATGAATTCTCCTCTGGATGCATTTTATGGTAGAGTGAAGATTTACCTACCTGCAGTGCCAGAATGAGCTCCCTAAGCACCCAAGGGTGCAAGTGTGCCCCATCTTCATGATAGACAGAGCTGGACTGATGGGTGGGCAGAAGAGGTGCCATACATACGGCTGTCTATGAATTCTCTTCTGGATGCGTTTTATGGTAGAGTGAAGACTTACCTACCAGCAGTGCCAGAACAAGTTCCCTAAGCACCCAAGGGTGACAGTGTGCCCCATCTTTACCTACCAGCAGTGCCAGAACAAGTTCCCTAAGCACCCAAGGGAGAAAGTGTGCCCCATCCTCCTGAACAGTGAACTGCCTACCAACAGACAGAGCTGGACTGAGGGGTGGGCAGAAGAGGTGCCATACAAATGGCTGTCTATGAATTCTCCCCTGGATGCGTTCTATGGTAAGGTGCAAATGTATTTACCGACAGTGCCTGAACAAGTTCCCTAAGCACCCAAGGGTGACAGTGTGCCCCATCTTCATGAGCAGTGAAATATCTACCAATAGACAGAGCTGGACTGAGGGGTGGGCTGAAGAAGTGCCATACATGCGGCTGTCTATGAATTCTCTTCTGGATGTGTTCTATGGTCGAGTGAAGATTTACCTACCGGCAGTGCGAGAACAAGTTCCCTAAGCACCCAAGGGTGAAAGTGTACTCCATCTTTACCTACCAGTAGTGCGAGAACAAGTTCCCTAAGCACCCAAGGGTGAAAGTGTACCTATTTTTACCTACCTGCAGTGCCAGAACAAGTTCCCTAAGCACCCAAGGGTGAAAGTGTGCCCATCTTTACCTACCGGCAGTGCCAGAACAAGTTCCCTAAGCACCCAAGGGTGAAAGTGTACCCATTTTTATCTACCGGCAGTGCCAGAACGAACTCCCTAAGCCCCCAAGGGTGAAAGTGTACCCATCTTCATGAGCAGTGAAATGTCTACCAACAGACAGAGCTGGACTGAGGGGTGGGCAGAAGAGATGTCATACAAATATCGATCTATGAATTCTCTTCTGGGTGTGTTTTATGGTGGAGTGGAGTGAAGGTTTACCTACTGGTAGTGCTGGAATGAGCTCCCCAAGCACCCAAGGGTGCCGCTAGATAAAGATGAGGCACACTTTCACCCTTGGGTGCTTAGAGAACACTCAGGTGGCTTCACGATGAGTAACCTTGTCCTTTTTCTATAAAGTCTCCTCCCACTTTCTTGTGATTTCTCAGGTGGCTTCACGTTGGGTAACCTTGTCCTTTTTCTATAAAGTCTCCTCCCACTTTCTCGTGATTTCTCAGGTGGCTTCACGTTGAGTAAACTTGTCCTTTCTCTATAAAGTCTCCTCCCACTTTCTCATGATTTCTCAGGTGGCTTCACGTTGAGTAAACTTGTCCTTTTCCTATAAAGTCTCCTCCCACTTTCTTGGCATTTCTCAGGTGGCTTCACGTTGGGTAACCTTGTCCTTTCTCTATAAAGTCTCCTCCCACTTTCTCATGATTTTTCAGGTGGCTTCACGTTGAGTAAACTTGTCCTTTTCCTATAAAGTCTCCTCCCACTTTCTTGGCATTTCTCAGGTGGCTTCACGTTGAGTAACCTTGTCCTTTTTCTATAAAGTCTCCTCCCACTTTCTCGTGATTTCTCAGGTGACTTCACGTTGGGTAACCGTGTCCTTTTTCTATAAAGTCTCCTCCCACTTTCTCGTGATTTCTCAGGTGGCTTCACGTTGAGTAACCTTGTCCTTTTTCTATAAAGTCTCCTCCCACTTTCTTGTGATTTCTCAGGTGGCTTCACGTTGAGTAACCTTGTCCTTTTTCTATAAAGTCTCCTCCCACTTTCTCAGTGATTTCTCAGGTGGCTTCACGTTGGGTAACCTTGTCCTTTTTCTATAAAGTCTCCTCCCACTTTCTCAGGATTTCTCAGGTGGCTTCACGTTGGGTAACCTTGTCCTTTTTCTATAAAGTCTCCTCCCACTTTCTCAGGATTTCTCAGGTGGCTTCACGTTCACGTTGGTAACCTTGTCCTTTTTCTATAAAGTCTCCTCCCACTTTCTCAGGATTTCTCAGGTGGCTTCACGTTGGGTAACCTTGTCCTTTTTCTATAAAGTCTCCTCCCACTTTCTCAGGATTTCTCAGGTGTCCTTTTCCTATAAAGCTTCACGTTGGGTAACCTTGTCCTTTTTCTATAAAGTCTCCTCCCTCTTTCTCAGGTGGCTGTGATTTCTCAGGTGATTTCTTCTTCACGTTGGGTAACCTTGTCCTTTTTCTATAAAGTCTCCTCCCACTTTCTCAGGATTTCTTTCTTGGGTAACATAATTTTCTCAGGTGGTGGCTTCACGTTGGGTAACCTTGTCCTTTTTCTATAAAGTCTCCTACTTTCTTGTGATTTCTCAGGTGGCTCCTCCCTCCTTTCTCAGTGATTTCTCAGGTGGCTTCACGTTGGGTAACCTTGTCCTTTTTCTATAAAGTCTCCTCCCACTTTCTCAGGTTTCTCAGGTGGCTTCACGTTGGGTAACCTTGTCCTTTTTCTATAAAGTCTCCTCCCACTTTCTTGTGATTTCTCAGGTGGCTTCACGTTGAGTAACCTTGTCCTTTTTCTATAAAGTCTCCTCCCACTTTCTCAGGATTTCTCAGGTGGCTTCACGTTGGGTAACCTTGTCCTTTTTCTATAAAGTCCTTTCCTCCCACTTTCTCAGGATTTCTCAGGTGGCTTCACGTTGGGTAACCTTGTCTCCTCCCACTTTCTCAGGATTTCTCAGTTTCTATAAAGTATAAAGTCTTGTCCTTTTCTATAAAGTCTCCTCCCACTTTCTTGTGATATTGTCCTTTTTCTATAAAGTCTCCTCCCACTTTCTCAGTGATTTCTCAGGTGGCTTCACGTTGGGTAACCTTGTCCTTTTTCTATAAAGTCTCCTCCCACTTTCTCAGGATTTCTCAGGTGGTCTTCACGTTGGGGCTTCAACCTTGTCCTTTTCCTATAAAGTCTCCTTTTCTCTATTTCTCAACGTTGGGTAACCGTCCTCCCACTTTCTCAGGATTTCTCAGGTGGCTTCACGTTGGGTAACCTTGTCCTTTCCTATAAAGTCTCCTCCCACTTTCTTGTGATTTCTCAGGTGGCTTCACGTTGGGTAACCTTGCCCTTTTTATAAAGTCTCCTCCCACTTAGGATTTCTCAGTTCACGTCCTCCCACTTTCCTCCCACTTTCTCAGGATTTCTCAGGTGGCTTCACGTTGGGTAACCTTGTCCTTTTTCTATAAAGTCTCCTCTCCTCCCACTTTCTCAGGATTTCTCAGGTGGCTTCATTGGGTAACCTCAGGTGGCTTCACGTTGGGTAACCGTGTCCTTTTTCTATAAAGTCTCCTCCCACTTTCTCAGGATTTCTCAGGTGGCCTCACATTGGGTAACCTTGTCCTTTTTCTATAAAGTCTCCTCCCACTTTCTTGGCATTCCTCAGGTGGCTTCACGTTGGGTAACCGTGTCCTTTTTCTATAAAGTCTCCTCCCACTTTCTCAGGATTTCTCAGGTGGCCTCACATTGGGTAACCTTGTCCTTTTCCTATAAAGTCTCCTCCCACTTTCTCTGGATTTTTCAGGTGGCTTCACGTTGGGTAACCTTGTCCTTTTTCTTTCCCTCTCCCGTAGAGTTACCGTGATCTGGCTCTGGTCAGCAGAGACGGGATGAACATCGTGCTCAACAAAATCAACCAGATCTTGATGGAGAAGTACCTGAAGATCCAGGACACCAGCCGGACGCAGGTAGGTACATTCGGGGTCAAAGTTTGCATTTACTAGACAGACGTACGGATGGCTGTCCACAAACTACATGAACCAGACCTCAAATGCATTGGAGACCCATCAGAAACGCACACGTGCTGCTTTATTGAGTTGCATGTTTTTTTTTTTTTTTTTCTCTGGGTTTTTTTTTTTTTTCTTTTTTGCTGGGGTTTTTTCTTTTCTTTTTTGGCGGGGGATTGTTTTTTGTTTTTGTTTTGTTTGTTTTTTTATGGTTTGTTTTTTGCCAGGTTTTTTTTTTTTTTTTTTTGGCGAGGGTTGTTTTTTGTTTGTTTTGTTTGTGTTTTTATGGGGGTTTTTTTTTTTTTTGCCGGGTTGTCTTTTTTTTTGTTTATTTTGGCGGGGGGGGGTTATTTTGTTTCTTGTCAGGGTTTTTTTTTTCCTTTTTGGTGGGGGTTTTTTTTTTTGTGGCAGGGTTTTTTGTTTTTTGGTGGGGCTTTTTTTTCCTTTTTGGTGGGGGGTTGTTTTTTTTTTGGTGGGGTCTTTCTTTTGTTTTGTTTTTTGATGAGGGGTAGCTTTTTTTTTTTTTTTTTTGCTTTAGTTTCTCGTACATTATACAATTTGTGTTTCTTGTACATTATACAATTTTGTACTCATGGCTACCCAACGCGTTTCGTTGAATTTCTTCCTCAGGGGACAGGGTGTATATATCTGGAATGTAGGACTTCTTTTTATTACAGCTGCTATTATCAATCGATTACCTGAGGATTACCCAGGATAAGGTAATAAAAAAAATTCCTACATTCCAGATATACGCTCTACCTCCTGAGGAAGAAATGTGACGAAACGCGTTGGGTAGCCACGAGCCCATTAATGGTACGCGATGGCGCCCTCCCTGATTGGATAGTTTGGCAGCTGTTGGTATTTTATATAGAAGTACCCGTGTGGATGGAATGTGTATGTGCGGTGCGAACGTTGCCCGTGTCCCGTCTGCCGGCCGCTTTGGCGCTAACCTCCGTGGCGTCTCTCTTTGCAGCTGATCTGGTTGGTACGGGAGCTGGTGAAGAGCGGCGTGCTGGGAGCCGATGGCGTTTGTATGACCTTCATGAAACAGATTGCAGGTGAGTCTTCCATACCCCACAACTATGTTCACAGGACACGCGACTCCCTGGTATATGTGGGCGCCATCCTGCCGCATACTTGGCCAACGAAATCGGTGAACTCGGTGCCAGTTTGGAGGCATCTGCTGGCCACACGGCCATATACATGAATTTATGTCAACGTGATACGTGGCTTCTCAGCAGCCAATCATTGCTTGTGATCAGGGGTCCCATTCTGAGCCCACCTGACCTATCCCACCAGAATGCCGGCACTGCTCACTGCCAATCACAGGTGGCCAACCTGACCTATCCCTCCAGAATGCCATCACTGCTCACCGCCAATCACAGGTGGCCAACCTGACCTATCCCGCCAGAATGCCATCACTGCTCACCGCCAATCACAGGTGGCCAACCTGACCTATCCCACCAGAATGCTGGAACTGCTCACCGCCAATCACAGGTGGCCAACCTGACCTATCCCTCCAGAATGCCATCACTGCTCACTGCCAATCACAGGTGGCCAACCTGACCTATCCCACCAGAATGCCGGCACTGCTCACCGCCAATCACAGGTTCATGTGCCGGCGAGGCGGTTGGGAGGATGTGGCCGGCGAGGCGGTTGGGAGGGTGTGGCCGGCGAGGCGGTTGGGAGGGTGTGGCCGGCGAGGCGGTTGGGAGGGTGTGGCCGGCGAGGCGGTTGGGAGGGTGTGGCCGGCGAGGCGGTTGGGAGGGTGTGGCCGGCGAGGCGGTTGGGAGGGTGTGGCCGGCGAGGTGGTTGGGAGGGTGTGGCCGGCGAGGCGGTTGGGAGGGTGTGGCCGGCGAGGCGGTTGGGAGGGTGTGGCCGGCGAGGCGGTTGGGACGAGGTGCCGGCGAGGCGGTGGGGATCATGTGCCGGGAGAATATCATGGAAGATCTGTTGCCGGGAGAATATCATGGCAGATCTGTTGCCGGGAGAATATCATGGCAGATCTGTTGCCGGGAGAATATCATGGCAGATCTGTTGCCGGGAGAATATCATGGCAGATCTGTTGCCGGGAGAATATCATGGCAGATCTGTTGCCGGGACCGCACTAGTGTACAATGTAATTACTGACCTGCTTTCATCTTCAGGAAATGACGTTCTGAGTGTCTTCTCTTCTCCCGTCTACAGGGGGCGACATTTCCTCCAAGAATATCTGGCTGTCTGAGAGTGTGCTGGACATCCTGATGGAGCAGAGGTAAGTCTCCTGACAACGGCCTCCCTACAGGAATAGTGCCTTCCAAGCGTGCGTCCTCGGTGATGTCATCGCTCTCTAGTGAACGGATTGGCTGCATTCTCAGTGATGTCATCGCTCTCTAGTGAACGGATTGGCTGCATTCTCAGTGATGTCACCGCTCTCTAGTGAATGGATAGGCTGCATTTTTGGTGATGTCACCGCTCTCTAGTGAACGGATAGGCTGCATTCTCGGTGATGTCACCGCTCTCTAGTGAACGGATAGGCTGCATTCTCGGTGATGTCATCGCTCTCTAGTGAACGGATTGGCTGCATTCTCGGTGATGTCATCGTTCTCTAGTGAATGGATAGGCTGCATTCTCAGTGATGTCACCGCTCTTTAGAGAATGGAGAGGCTGCAATTTTGGTGATGTCACCGCTCTCTAGTGAATGGATAGGCTGCATTTTTGGTGATGTCAACGCTCTCTAGTGAACGGATTGGCTGCATTCTCAGTGATGTCACCGCTCTCTAGTGAATGGATAGGCTGCATTCTCGGTGATATCATCGCTCTCTAGTGAATGGATAGGCTGCATTCTCGGTGATGTCATCGCTCTCTAGTGAATGGATAGGTTGCATTTTTGGTGATGTCACCGCTCTCTAGTGAACGGATAGGCTGCATTCTCGGTGATGTCACCGCTCTCTAGTGAACGGATTGGCTGCATTCTCGGTGATGTCATCGCTCTCTAGTGAATGGATAGGCTGCATTCTCAGTGATGTCACCGCTCTTTAGAGAATGGATAGGCTGCAATTTTGGTGATGTCACCGCTCTCTAGTGAATGGATAGGCTGCAATTTTGGTGATGTCACCGCTCTCTAGTGAATGGATAGGCTGCAATTTTGTGATGTCACCGCTCTCTAGTGAATGGATAGGCTGCATTCTCAGTGATGTCACCGCTCTCTAGTGAATGGATAGGCTGCAATTTTGGTGATGTCACCGCTCTCTAGTGAATGGATAGGCTGCATTCTCAGTGATGTCACCGCTCTCTAGTGAATGGATAGGCTGCATTCTCAGTGATGTCATCGCTCTCTTGTGAACAGATTGGCTGCATTCTCAGTGATGTCATCGCTCTCTAGTGAATGGATAGGCTGCATTCTCAGTGATGTCACCACTCTCTAGTGAATGGATAGGCTGCATTCTCAGTGATGTCACCGCTCTCTAGTGAATGGATAGGCTGCATTCTCAGTGATGTCACCGCTCTCTAGTGAATGGATAGGCTGCATTCTCAGTGATGTCACTGCTCTCTAGTGAACGGTGGATTTGCATAAATTCTCATTAGTGGAGTTCTGCTTTTATCAGCGTCACCTGAGAGGGGCGCTCCAGCCCTGCGTTCTTTGCTGACTCTCCTCCTCTTCCATTCAGAATAGACCTGGCGGGTACATCGTTTGTGTTTGGAAGGAATGTTCATAATTCTGTTTTGTTTAGCAGCCGCAGACGTCCCAGAAATAGTTTTCACAACAATTCGCTGCCTTCCAGCCGGTTATGTCGGGGAGAGTCCGGTCCCGTGTGCTCACAGCTCTGGGCTCTTCACATCAGGGGCCCAAATACCTGCAAACCGGCTCCTAGGAGCTCGAGGCAGATCAACAAAATGCACTCCTTAACCCCATCCCCCCGCAGCCTCAAGAGATCCATTCCTCAGGACAATGCTCCGTGCTGGGGGATACCTCTCAGACCCTCCTCCCTTCCTAGCTGGCAGCTTCTGCCCCCTGCTAATGGTGGGGAACCAATCAGAGTGGTTCTTGATCATGTGGTCACTATGTCAGCTAGTGATCACATACAAGATGAAGGGTTCTTTAAAAAAAAAAAAAAAAAAATTGGCTTTGCTAAGGTCATCGTAGCCAGTAGATGGCAGTGTGCAGACAGTTTAGTACTGTCATTGGCTCATACAGTTATAGTATGAAAAAAAAAAAATAAAGCATTGGCTTGCTAAGGTCCTCACAGCCAGTAGATGGCAGTGTGTCGACAGTTTAGTACTGTCATTGGCTCATACATTTGTAGTATGAAGAAATTTTTTTTCCAAAACAAAAAAATGGCTTGCTAAGGTCATTACAGCCAGTAGATGGCAGTCTGTAGACAGTACTGTCATTGGCTCATACAGTTATAGGATGAAAAAAATATATAAAATTGGCTTGTTATGGTTATCACAGCCTGTAGATGGCAGTGTGTAGACAGTTTAGTACTGTCATTGACTCATACAGTTATAGTATGAAAAAAAAAATATAAAATTGGCTTGTTATGGTTATCACAGCCAGTAGATGGCAGTCTGTAGACAGTTTAGTACTGTCATTGACTCATACAGTTATAGTATGAAAAAAAAAAATATAAAATTGGCTTGTTATGGTTATCACAGCCAGTAGATGGCAGTGTGTAGACAGTATAGTACTGTCATTGACTCATACAGTTATAGTATTGAAAAAAAAAAATTAAAAATTGGCTTGCTAAGGTCATCACAGCCAGTAGATGGCAGTGTGTAGACAGTTTAGTACTGTCATTGGCTCATACATTTGTAGTATGAAAAAAATTTTTTTTCCAAAACAAAAAAATGGCTTGCTAAGGTCATTACAGCCAGTAGATGGCAGTGTGTAGACAGTATAGTACTGTCATTGACTCATACAGTTATAGTATTGAAAAAAAAAAAAATATAAAATTGGCTTGTTATGGTTATCACAGCCAGTAGATGGCAGTCTGTAGACAGTATAGTACTGTCATTGGCTCATACAGTTGTAGTATGAGAATTTTTTTTTTTTTGACCAATTGCCCACCTATAATAAGTGATGACCGGGCCCTCGCACCAATCCGACTTTGAAATGGTTCCGGTGAAGTCGCAGGGTTTCAAAGTCGGGTGTCGTTCCGACTTGAGGTGCGGCTTGCGAGACACAGATGCAAGTTGCACCCGAAGTGGCGCACGCACTGCTTTGGAAATCGTCGCGGCTCCGCCCACGTCGGAATCGCACCGATATGAACGATTTAACCCCTTGCTGTCCGGCCCATGTACATAAACGGCCGGACGGTGGCAGTGCAGGGGCGGGTTGCCGTTCAGAAACTGTACGCTGTACTGCTGGGGTGACGGTATGTAGGAAAAAAAAAACATAAATAATATAATAAAATAATGTAAAAACAATTTTTTTACAAATATAATTTTTGGTTATAAACTAATTTGGGTTTTTTTTTTTTTTTTTTTTGTTACTAAAAAGATAACGGAATACATTTTGGCCGAGATTTATGAAGAAATACTATTTGCAAAATTTTATAAGTAAAACACTTTTTTTCAAAATGTTTGGAATTTTTCATTTATACAGTGTTGCATGACCGCGCAATTGTCATTCAAAGTGTGATATCGCTGAAAGCTGAAAATTGGCCTGGATTGGAAGGGGGGGGGGGGGGAGC